GGGTTTGGCCAGCGCCCAGCACAGATCAGAGTGTGAGCGTATGGCACTGCCCATGCAAGGGGCACTCAGTGCTGCTGGAAGGAGACTTGGGTGCAGCGTACTCCATGATGGTTGGGCCCAGTGGCCCCAGTGGGCTCCTGTGCAGGACTAGGGGACTGCAGATAACATTCCTTAGGCCCCTGCCTGTGTCCCCACCAAGATGACCACAAGCTATGGAACACAGCTCTTACCACCAACACCCACCTTGCCCTAGCCCCAGCTGGGGCGTGAACATATGTGAGTCCCTGGGTAGGGCATTATGTCAGCCCTGGGTTGAGACCCCAGATCCTGATATTAACGAGGCATCTTCATCAAGTCCCTTTTCTCCTCTGGCCTCAGTTTCCCTATGTGTAAGCTGAAGACAGTCACCCTAGTTCTGGAGGTGGGTCTGTGGGGAGTGAGAGGTGAAGCCCACGTGCCCGTTCTGTGTGCAGCGCCGGATGGCACATGCTCTGTGCCGCTCCTGCCTGCCCAGGGCCTCCAGCTAACGTGGGGCGGGCTCTAGCTTCTAAAGCTTCGGGCATTCAGGCAGACCCAGGCCTGGCAAGGAGAAGGTGCTCTGTAAGGGTTAACACCCTTTGGCCCAAATGCACATGGAGGGGCCTTGTGTTGCGGTGGGCCTGCAGGGATGGGGTTTGGGGAACTCCCCCCCACCCCTAGCTGGGGTCTCCTATGGTGGTTGGCTCTGCTGGGAATCCCCAGATAGAGGTGGGGGGCACTGGCTGGGCACTGACTCAGAGGGCTTGGACACCTCCATGTGCCCCCCTTGGTATGCTGGGGTCTGCTTTGGATCTTGGGCATCTTCTAGGAGCTTCTCTGGAGCCCCTGGGGGTGGGGAGGCAGGAGAGGAACGGAGAGCACATCCCTGCATTAGGCAGAGGCTGAAGCCAGGCCTGGGTGTGAGCACAGAACCACCCTGAGCATGCCTGCAGGCTGGGGGCCAGGTCAGAGGGTCGCCACGCTGTCCTGCCCAGCTGCGACCTCTACCCAGCTCCTCACAGCCCAGCTCCTGAGGTTGGCCTGCACGCCCTCCCTTCTCCACACTACCTCAATCCTGCCTGCAGGGCACACTCCAGTGGCCACTCATGTGGTACCTGCTCCTCTGAAAACACAACCCGGCCCCTCAGCCCAAGAGTGAGAGCTTCCTGGAGCTGACGGCCCCCTGTGGGCATGAGGTCCAGACCCTGCAAGGAGTGGACTGGGGCTGCCAAGGGTGAGGGCGGAACACAGGGACAGACAGGGACATGGGCCCTTGAGGAAGGATGGAGAGAGGGAATGAGGACTCTGGGTGGGAGTGGCAGGTAAGCCTTCTGGGGCCCATGCAGAGAATCGGATCCTCCTATGTCACCGGCCCAGCCCGGGAGTGCCCTACAGGTACACATGTGCACAGTCCCAGCACTCAGCACAAGCCTGGCACGGGCAGGGGCAAAACCTGCCCAAGGAATAAGCAGTAGGTGCTCAGCAAACAACTTCCGAAAGTTCATTACGGTCTGCAAGGGAGGCCCAGGCAGCTGGCCAGCCAGCCGGGCATCCACCGCTCACTTATTAATGCTTCCTGCACACCTATGGAATGCACGTGCTTGGAGAGAGAGGGACGCAGGACAGCCAGTGACAGGTCAGCGCTGCAGTGGCGCCGGTTTATCTTCTTCCCGGCACTAAGCGCGACCTGCAATTACCCAGTCTGTTTACTTGTCTCTGTAGATATGCATAAAGCAAACGTACTTCACGGGGCCTGGTTTTCCAAAGCCTTGCAGTTTCAAATATTGACCTTACAAAAACCAGTAAATTTTCCCCAGGCTATATAGTCTCTGTTGTAAGATAAAGAATTGTAACACAGCAAGGTTGCTGGCTCAAAGACACACAGGTTACTGATTGATACGTAAAGATACTGGGAAATTGCTGTATTGCTGTAAGAAGAGAATGTTTGCTAAAATCAAGCTTTTGTTAGTGGATCGACTTAATTACATGTTACCAGCTTCTACTGTTAAACTTGTTAAACGGTACTTAGCAAAAACCCCACCTGTGTTCTCTTCCTGGTCTGAAGAATAAATGCCGGAAGAGAACCCCAATTTGTGGTTAATTTCCCAAACGGAAGGCATGCCTCTATCTTGAGGGTTCCAGGAGATTAACCCCTTTCTGGGTCTTCTCACTGCTCAGAAGAGATGGGCTTTGAGTAATCTTTGGCAGCTCCATCACCCAGGGGAAAAGGGTGACAAATCCGTGGGAGGCAAAGCAACACGTCTCCTTGTTCATTCTCAGACTCCTACCTCCATGGATGGACTCTAAGCTCCAGGAGGCAGTTCTCTGCTGAATCTATGCCCTGGGCCCAGCCCAGTGCTGCCACAATGAATGAATGAATGAATGAATGGCTGAGAACACAGATTTGATTCTCATGGCAGACTGAGCTATGCATTTTTGCCCCATGTCCAGATGAGGAAACAGAGGTGCAGGGAATTTAGGGGACATGCCCAGGGCCACTGAAGTGGATTGAATAGTGTCCCCAGAAATTCATGCCTACCTACAACTTCAGACCTTACTTGGAAATAGGGTCTTTGTAGATGTAATTAATTAAGAATCTTGAGATGAAATTATCCTGGATTTAGGGTGGGCCCTAAATACAATAATGGTGTCTTTTAAGAGAAAGGTGAGGGAGATTTGGACACAGAGAAGGCGGCCATGTGAAGACAGAGACTGGAGTGATGCTGCCACAAGCCAAGGAGCCACCAGAAGCTGGAATAGACAAGGAAGGATCCTCCCCTCGAACCTTCAGAGGAGCACAGTCCTGCCAACGCCTGGACTTTGGACTTCTGGCCTTCAGAACTATGAGAGAATACATTCATGCTGTGTTAAGCCACCGAGTTTGTGGGCATTTGTTACAGCAGCCCTAGGGAACTAAAATGGTCACACAGACAAAAGGGGATGATGCATCCTGGACTCAGAGTGAGGAATCCACAGCAAGCCAGGACCTGCAGGCTGACACAGCTGTCCCTGACTGCCCGAGGCTGCTGTCCTGTGGGGCCCTCACAGGGAGAACCATACGAGAGGGGGCAGGCAGACAGGGACCAGAAGGAGTCCCCTGGTACCCCACTGTTTCTGCACAGGGACTAGGCTGGGGAAGGCAATTTGCCTCTCCCTCAGCTCAGCCCCGACACCTGCCTGGGGAAGAGAAGAGGGCCTCAGGCTCTGCTGCATCCTATGCAGGTGATGGGTGATGTGTGATGTGAGCAGGTCTCTTGGGTGCCCCATGCCCTATGCACCTCTAAATGGGAGGTAGTGGTAATACCTCCCTCGCTGGACTAGGATGTTGGCACAGCAAGCCAAGGGCCAGGAGTGGGGCTGGCCTGGGGCCTGGCACATGGAAGTGCAGCAAGCAGCAGCACCCCTGAGGCCTGAGGTGGGTGGGAGCTGACGTAGGTCCAATGGCGGGAGACATGGAGCCTTGCAGGTGCTGACAGAAGAGGGCTGGCGTTCTCAGCAGTCCACCAGGCCACTAAGTGAAAACCAGTGGTGGGACCAGTGGAGGTGACCTCTTTCTGCAAGGCCTCTGAACCAGCACCCAGCCAGTACTCCTACCTCTGTTTGGGGACCCTCAGCAGGAGACTCCAGCTGGAGGGTGGGGGGAGCTCACAAAGTTGCTGTTGGTGAGAGCTCAGGAACCAGTCCTAAGGAGCTCCCCAACCCCATCGCTACAGACATAGCCTGACACAAGTCTCCCGCATGAGTCTGGGCTTGAGTTATAAGTCACAGCGTACTTACTATGTGCCAGGCACTATGCTGAGGGCTTTATTATACACTTTTCCATTTAATCTCTATAACAGCCCCGTGAGGTGGGTACTACTATTCACCCATTTTATGGATAAGGAAATTGAGGATCAGAGAGGTTAAGTGACTTGCTCAAGGCCACACAGCAGGAAGGGGCAGAGTCGGGATTTGAACTAGGTCTGTTTGACTCTTTTCACTTAAGCCATGGCAGAGAAACAAGGAAGAAGACTGCTTCGATCTCCTCAATACTGCGAGAGAAGAAAACTAGAGTCCTCAACGGAGTTCTCCTTCACTGTTCCCACGCCAGCCCTGTAAGGAGGAATGGTATACCCATTGACAGAGAGGGAAACTGAGGCAGGAACGTCCCAGCCCTCAGCAGTCTGCAGCTTAGTAGGGGACATCTCACAAGTTTTCACTACTAGGTGTGTGTGGGCCGGGAGGGGGGCAGCACCCACAGTCTTCCCTGAACAGCCTGCCTCAAGCCCCACCATCTTCCTTTTGGTGTAAATATCTATTTTCGAAAAGGGCTCATGGGCGGACAGACTGGGGAATCCCAATAAATAAACCAACTCTTTTCCGGATCTCAGCCTTGCTCTTCAAACAAAGCTGGGGAAGGGGGTCTTCCCACGCCCCTGCTTGTCTGGGCGCGGCCCCGTGGGGGAGGGTCCTCTATGGAATGCCTGGCAGCTGCCGCACCCCTGCTGACAGCCGGGAGGACAGGGGGCCGCTCAAGGGAAAGCTACCCGCCCACCCTCGACCAAAGAGACCTTAAAGGCAGACACAGGAAACGCAGCCGCTACCCACCGACTGAGCCCGGGAGGCTCGTCTGCAAAACGGGAAAAATACTTCCTGCTCTGTTGACCTCCGGGTTGTCTCCGACACACGAGCGGAGACGTGGGAAGACCCCTGGCGGGAGACGGGCACGCGGGTCCCGGGCCCAGCCCGCCACCTACTGGCTGGGCGCTTTCAGACCAGCCCGGGGACCTCGGTCTCGTCCCTCCGTCTCAGGAACACGTTGCACTAAACTTCCCTCCCAGCCCGCACAACTCCGGCGGAGCACGGAGCAAGTTCCTTGTAAACTGTGAAGTGCCGCTCTGCCCTTGGCACGGTTCCTCGCTCGGCGTGGCCCCCCGCCGCGGACCGGCGTCAGGACCCCCTCCCCAGCCCGACCCTGGGGACCCGGGAGGGCGCGACCTTACCTGTTCCAGGTGGCGTTGGCGCAGGCCCGGCGCTGCTGCGTGCCCCGTTCGTCCGCGGCGGCGGCGGCCGGCTCTCTCTTGCCCAGGTCGCTGAGGCTGGTGCTGACAGAAGAGGGCTGGCGTTCTCAGCAGTCCACCAGGCCACTAAGTGAAAACCAGTGGTGGGACCAGTGGAGGTGACCTCTTTCTGCAAGGCCTCTGAACCAGCACCCAGCCAGTACTCCTACCTCTGTTTGGGGACCCTCAGCAGGAGACTCCAGCTGGAGGGTGGGGGGAGCTCACAAAGTTGCTGTTGGTGAGAGCTCAGGAACCAGTCCTAAGGAGCTCCCCAACCCCATCGCTACAGACATAGCCTGACACAAGTCTCCCGCATGAGTCTGGGCTTGAGTTATAAGTCACAGCGTACTTACTATGTGCCAGGCACTATGCTGAGGGCTTTATTATACACTTTTCCATTTAATCTCTATAACAGCCCCGTGAGGTGGGTACTACTATTCACCCATTTTATGGATAAGGAAATTGAGGATCAGAGAGGTTAAGTGACTTGCTCAAGGCCACACAGCAGGAAGGGGCAGAGTCGGGATTTGAACTAGGTCTGTTTGACTCTTTTCACTTAAGCCATGGCAGAGAAACAAGGAAGAAGACTGCTTCGATCTCCTCAATACTGCGAGAGAAGAAAACTAGAGTCCTCAACGGAGTTCTCCTTCACTGTTCCCACGCCAGCCCTGTAAGGAGGAATGGTATACCCATTGACAGAGAGGGAAACTGAGGCAGGAACGTCCCAGCCCTCAGCAGTCTGCAGCTTAGTAGGGGACATCTCACAAGTTTTCACTACTAGGTGTGTGTGGGCCGGGAGGGGGGCAGCACCCACAGTCTTCCCTGAACAGCCTGCCTCAAGCCCCACCATCTTCCTTTTGGTGTAAATATCTATTTTCGAAAAGGGCTCATGGGCGGACAGACTGGGGAATCCCAATAAATAAACCAACTCTTTTCCGGATCTCAGCCTTGCTCTTCAAACAAAGCTGGGGAAGGGGGTCTTCCCACGCCCCTGCTTGTCTGGGCGCGGCCCCGTGGGGCAGGGTCCTCTATGGAATGCCTGGCAGCTGCCGCACCCCTGCTGACAGCCGGGAGGACAGGGGGCCGCTCAAGTGTGAGGCCACAGGCAGCAACAGGTGCAAAGGTGCTTTATAAACTAACTCGTGTCAGACACAGTCTGCAAAGGGTCCCTCCTCAAGAGGATAGGAGGAGCCTTCTTGGACACTTGTCAATCATGCCCTCACATGTACATGACACTATTTTTTAGATTTTCAGACACAGTCTGCAAAGGGTCCCTCCTCAAGAGGATAGGAGGAGCCTTCTTGGACACTTGCCAATCATGCCCTCACATGTACATGACACTATTTTTTAGATTGTTTTTAGATTCCAAGCCAGATTTCATAGTCCGACAAGGATTTCCTATCCTATTACTTTAAAAAAATGATATAAAAGTACCAAAGCAATTACTGAATCGTCTTGGAAAAGAAGATGACTGTGAGAATTTAGAGTTACCTGAGGTTCAACCCTCAGTTAGGCTTTGGGGTTGCCCTCTTGTCCTTCGATGACTTTTTTCATCCTATGCCGTAAGCCGGGAGGGCAGGGACTGTAATCACGTGTTCACTGTTCCATTCCCCACGCCTAGCACAGTAGGCGCTCAACAAGTATTTGGCAGTCAAGGGTTTGGATCCCTGTACCCGCCAGCCACCAAAAATTAAAAATAAAAATAAAAAAGAAATAAATATTTGGCTGAATGGATGGATAAACATTTATCTCACAGGAGTAAAGGGATTAAGTTAGACCATATTGGTGAAAACGCTTTATGAAAGTTCCCACGCTGGAAGTTCCAGACGGGAGATAGAATCTCAGTCACTGCCACTGGTGTAAATGCAGCAAGCAGATGAAAAACGGTTTCCCACGCTGGGGCAGGCGCTCAGGGAGAAGGCTGGCTCTGTGTGGTCGGTGCATTCCGTGAGAAGGCAGGGCCTGGCTGGCAGGAGGGGCCAGCGGGAGAGAGGGAGGAGGGGCTCTGGATGAGAAACCGGAGGGATGATGGGAGGCTGTGGGTAAGGGCACCCTGAGGTGGGGGGAGGAGGAGGGAAGAAGAGGATGGGCTGCCAGGGGACTTGGTGAAAGGGGGGCTGGGCATGCAGCAAGGATCTGGGAGGAGAAGCGGCCAGCGGGACATTCTGGAGGCGGGAATGGCAGAGGCATTGGAAAGACATCTTAAAAAAAAGACATCTCTAGTCTGTACTAAATAATTAGCTGTAACCTCTCCCTGGCCCAGCCACAGATCTGTAAAATCTGTCTACACCCAACAGCCCAGTGCCATGAGTGCAGTGGAGACTCAGAGGCGACAGTGCCACCACCTTGTGTTAGGGCTGGTGACAGTGGTGATAGGCAGGGAGGGCACTGTGGGGGCGCTGCACAGCCCAGGGGAGCAGCCAGCTCATGGGGCCGGAAATCTGAGCCAGAGGCTCCTTCTGATAGGAGGGCGAGCTCTTGGCTGTGTGGCCAGAACTGGGGTCCACTTGACCCTGTTGCCAAGTCAGGTGACCTCTAGGGCCTCAGTCTGCCCATCTGTAAGATGGATGGGGTCGAGCTGCCAGAGATGAGTTTGTGGGGCAGGGGAGCTGAGAACTTACAAACCCCTTAGAGGCCACGTGCTCCCCACAGACAGGAGACATGACCGGGGTGCCTTTGATCCCTGTGGTGTGACTATGTTGTGGGGCTGGCCCAGAGTTTTCATCTTCATGGGCACAGTGCTGGGACTTTGGTGTTTACTTTCTGCAGACAGACTCAAAGCACCAGGACTTTGCTTCAGAAAGGCCCCCAGGGCTGGTTCAAATGCCCCTTCCCAGCCCCACCTGGGCCCCCCAAATCAGAATCTTTAGGGGCAGGGCCTGGGGATTGCTAACAATTGCAATGAGCATCTCAGTGGGCTCTCATGGTACCCTGGGGTCTGCAACCCCTGAGCCTGGCTCAGCCCTGCACTTTACAGATGGACAGCCTGACACCCAGGGAAGGGAAGAGACCACAGTAGGTTGGTGACGGGTCTTGAACCCAGAACTCTGGACTTTTAGTCCACTGGGATGAGGTTATGATCTCTGTAACACCAGCCCATTTCTGCATGCCAAGCAAAGGGGGAAGACAGCCTACCCCCGAAGGGGCCAGTTCAGGAGGGAGGGCCAGGGAATGGCACAGGAGCAGGGCAGAAAGGTGGCCACTTAAACATATGGCCTCATTTAGTTCTCAAAAGGCTGCCGAGTGGGGGTTAGAGGCCCCATTTTACAGACAGAGAAACTGAGGCTCAGGGAGACCAAGTCACATGCTTGAAGTCAAAGTCAGCAAGTGGCAGATCTGATGCCGGAGCGCAGCCAGCTGACAGGAGAGAGACAGCCCCCAGCTCCTTCACTCTCCTGCTGGCCAAGTCCTCAGTCGCCTTGCCCTGCCCACCTCCCAGGCACTGCCTGCTCCGGAGGGGTGCTTCTGCCCCCTGGTGGTGAAGCCTGGCCCTCCCCCAAAGCCAGCTCATGCACCCTGTGGAGCAGCCTGGTCAGTGGGCTCCACACCATGGGGTCCTGGGCACCCAGAGAGGGGCCTAGCTACATGCTGGGTGCGGGAAACCATGGGGGTGCCTGGCTCTGTTCCTACCGTCTGCAACAGCTGGGCACGTCCCATCCCTTCCCTGGGATGGTCACCCCACTGCCCTATGAGGGGGCTAGGTGGGGAGAGAAGATTCATGCAGAGTCATGGGGGGCACGCCAATGGCTTGGCAAATGCTGCTGTTGTGGTCACACGGTGGTAAGAAATTCCTGAGTCAGGGCTGGGTGAGTCCCTGTTACGAGCAGTGACTCCAGCATCGAATGGGATTAGGCTGGTCATCTCTGGGGGCCCATCTCAGCACACCAATTCTCAGTGACCATCCCAAAACTAGATGGCTGGCCAGTGTCCATGGCAGGATGGGCATCAGTGAGGCCTGTCGGAAGTGACACGTGTTGTATTTCATGAACGTGGGGATCTCACAGAGGCTCCCCCATGCCAAGCCTGGGGTGGAGGTGCCACCACCAAAGGCAGGTGGTCCCACCCTCAAGTTGCTCCAGAGGAAATAGTCCCCTTTGGTGGCCTTGGAGCCAGTATCAATATTATCATCCCTATTTCACAGATGGGGAAACTGAGGCTGGGTGGGGTTAAGCGGCTTGCTCAGTGGCTGTCAGCTGGAGAGTGGTAGAGCTAGGATACTGCATTGGCCTGTGGTGAGACAAGAGCCACCTCCCTAGCACTTTAAAAAGCCCCACAGACATATTTATTGAGCACCTACTCTATGCCAGGCACTGTTTTAGGCATTGGGAATACAGCAGGGGACAAGAAAGACAGGGTCTCTGCCACCACAGGGTGAACTCACCGGCCTATCCTAGCTCTGCTATTTAAGAATCTCGGTCATGTTCCCGTTGGCCCCATGACAACCTAGAGGCTTGAAGACTGCTGGCTTCTACAAGTCTTCTCTTTACCACTGAGCCACCAGGATCCCATCTCCGGCCCTTCTCCACCCCAGTGGTCTGTCCTCTACACTCGCAACACCCCCCACCTTTTGTTCTGGATCCCAGTTCTAGGGGAGGGTGAGCGGATTCTGATCCACAGAGGTCCCTTGTCCTAGAAGCCATGACCCCATAGGCGCCTCCCCTGAGACTCCTCTATAAAACTCAGTTTGCCATCCATCAACGAGGTCTTGAATGCCCAGTTTCCAAAGACTTTCTGGGGCAGCATTTTATGACCCTGATTCTGGTCTATCAACAGGTGGCTCTGTGGCATAATGCAGTTACCGTCAGGGCCGGAGCACGGCACGGCAGGGAGAGCCAGGTTTTGGAGTCCCCCACACTGGGTCTGCTCCTGGTGCTGCCACCTCCCTGCAATACCTTCTGGTCAAGCCAAGTAACCTCCTGAGCTTGGGTCTCCTTATCCACAGAACACGGAGATAAAACCACAGGCCTGCCAGCACTTTTGTGGGCTGGGCATGTGGCAGCTGCTTTAATTTCCTTGGATCTCCATAGCAACTCTACA